CCAACAGGAAAGTTTGTTCTCTAGTGTCTGGGAAATCTCCATTTACTTGGAGTACATTCTGTCCTACCCAAAATGGCCGTTCCCTGCCAGAGCCTTAGTTAAGTTCAGATTGGCCTCTAGTGTATGGGAGGTAACCTAGGGGATGGTGGGAGAGGACGGCTGTGTATGAGAGGGAGATAATGGAGAGCTGAATAGATATATTAGAAGAATCCGAAATGATATAATGAGGGGGGGAGATAGGGATCTGATGAGCCCTCCGAGAAGGAGATTATACAGGATGGCGGAGATACAGGTGGGATGGAGGAGAGAACAGAGTGAGGTCTAGCTGCGGATAAGGCAGGCAACAGAGTGAGGTCTAGCTGCAGATAAGGCAGGCTCCATTGAACAGGCACCAGAAAGTAAAGACCTGTGCTGCTGAGATGGCAAGTGGTGTAGTTTTTGCCACTTTGCCAGTATTGTATTTATATTCTGATTGCAAGTGTACATTTACTTCTTCATATAGAGTATTAGGTTAAATCATGATCTATAGTATACTACATACATAACATGTAGTTGTACTATGGATCATGATTTAACCTAATCATGTTAGCAGGGGAATAGGGGATAATTGAAAAACTCTATTGCTGTAGTGTACTCTATATGTAGTACTGTATTAGCAGTATATACTCTATATGTACTACATATAGAGTACACACTGCTAATACAGTGCAGACAATACATTTACAATTATACTTTGCTAGCATGAATGGATTAAATGATCTGTATGTAGCCCTGTACTAGGGATCATTTAATCCATTCATGTTAGCAGAGGATAATTGTAAATCTATTGTTGCAGTGCACTCTATAGGTACATGTACTATATACTACATATAGAATGCACTGCAACAATAGCTTTACAATTCTCCCCTGCTAACATGAATACGTTAAATTATGATCCATAGTACATAATATGTAGTTGTACTATGGATCATTTAAAGTCACCTGTCCCTTTAAGAAAAAGTATCGGTAATTGGTATCGGCAAGTACATGAGGGGAAGTACTTGTACTTGTACTTGGGCCTGAAAAAGTGGCATCGGGACATCCCTAGTTTTTATGCCACAACCTTCCAGTAATTTACCACCAGCAAATCAAAGCTGTTAGGACAGCCCTGCATAGCCCCTCCAGCTCCCACCCTGCCTTCAGTTTTGCAGCTAGCAGTACAAGAGTGGATCACAGAGGGGAGGGCCCTATGTCCTGAGACTTTACAGGTAAAGCAAAAATCCTGTTTTCTTGATCATACATTACAGGACACAGGGAGTTAAATGGATGGGGCAACAGAGGGACGGGCAACACAGCAACGGACCTAACATGTCTGAAATGTTTTATTTTTTTTTGTCTTACACTTTGCTGTAACGAATATTCGTCCACAAACGAAAATTCGTACAGACTACCGCTAATGGATTTCGTCCGAATCCCGAAACGAATTGACTTTCGGACCCGAATCCCGAAAAACGAAATAACGGAAAATCCGAACGAAAACTAGACTAAACCAATTTTTTTGCCGGTGCACATGTCTACCAGGTGTTATCCTTGCAGGTATGGGAAGCTGAAGCCTGAGGGCTGGCAAACCCAAGCAGTACCAACACTCTTGGTAGAGATAGCTATAAGTGGATAGGGGAGAAATGTACCCTTCAATTCATAATGGTATGTGCACTGTGTAAAGCACTGCATAAATGGTCGGCGCTATTTAAATAGCTGTAATAAATACAAAAATTCTAAAAAAAAGTGTAAGCCAAATCCATGTAGCAAAATTAGAAGAAACTGACTGACCCACATGGGGCTCTTAGGAATGACGAAAAGGGATTAACACTTGTGGACTAAGTGGATAGAAGCTGTAGCAAGGGCATAAACAAAAACAGCTGGAAACTAAGTCCAAACAAGACCAGACTGGAGGAAGGATAGGATGCTTCCCACTGAGTATTCCCTGTGATAGAACTTCCATAGAACTTCCTCGGTTTGCAGCGAAATAAGCTTTTCAGGTGTGATGTTAGACTATGTAAGAGGTCAACTTCCTAGCTTTCAGAAGCATAGAGATAACATCTCTGTCTTTCAAGACCTAGTCTTCAACAGCCAGGCCGTTAAAGCCAGTGATTCAGTAACATGGTGGAATGCCAGTCCCTGGGACAGCAGGTCTGAATGATCCAAAAGTGCCCATGGAAGATCTGTCAGGAGTCTGACCATATCCGTGTAGCACGTGTCTCCTGTGCCAATTGGGATCAATAAAGATCACTGGAATTCCCTTTCTCTTGATCCTGGGAAGGTGCTGTGCCAAGAGTTTCAGAGAAGGGAAGGCTTAGATCATGCTGAACATAAACTACAGAGTCACCAGGCATCCATGGCGAAGGCCCGGAGATCCCTGGTCCTTGCAACAAACCTGTATAGCGTGTTGTCGAACCTGGAGGATAGGAGGTCAACATCCTGCTTCCCCAATCGAGACATAGTTCCTGAAACATCAATGTGTGAAGGGACCACTCTCTGGGATTCAGACGTTGACAATTGAGAAATTCTGCCTGCCAATTTTCCACAGCTGGGATGTGCGCAGTGGACAGGGTCAGGACGAGATGTGATGAAGGGACAACCTAGTGGGCCTAAGCTCCCGGATATTGATCGAGAGATGAGATTCCTCTGTCAACCAGGTTCACTGAACCCAGAGGTTCCTGTGGACTCCGCCCCAGCCCTACAGGCAGGCATCTTTCATGAGCATCTTCAAGACCATTGGAAGAAAGGATTTCCCTAGTTCTAACATCAGGCTGGAGAGCCACCACATTAGGGCAAGCTTTGTCTTAATGGAAAAAGCTAATGGGGAGGTCCAGGGAGTAAGCCTGTTTGTCCAACTCCACCAGAATGCTGAGCTGCAATAGCCTGGAGGGAAATTGAGCAAAGGAGGCCACTATCAAGCCCAGCACCTTCATGCAAAGGTGAATGGTCAGGCAACTCCTGGACTGTAAGGTCCGAGTATGAGAGTAGAGACCTACTTTTAAAGGGTGCCGTGACTGAAAAAAGATTGGGAAACGACATGTTAGAAGACATTTTTATGGCAGTTTTTTAAATTTATGAATGTCTAGTGAATACGTTTTTATGCATATAGCATACTATCTTTATTCTGGTATCTTGATGTCATCTCTAAATTACATCCAAGAGGTAAAAGGTGTTCTGTATGTTTAACTCAAATTTAGCCAGCTCATTTACTATAGAAACTGAGTAGCTAAATTCTATCAGTATTTATCTTGAACTTTTCAAAAATTAAAAAATAACATATGGAGATTTCCAGCTTAAAGTTTAACTATGGTCAAAATGAAATCTATATGATGCTATATATGATGCAGTCTGTCATTAGCATTAACACAGCAGTTTTTGTTTTCCTAAGCCTCATTTGTAACATAGGTTTATTAGTTGTTGACCCTGCCAGTAGATCTGTTATTTTTCCACTTGCAATAGCAAGCCAAGATGTCCAGCAAAAGTAGCAGTTACATGGGTTGGGACAAACTATATACCAATGCCATGGGTGCTTATAACAGTAAGCTTTTATTCTTATTGTCTAAACATTTGTTCCAATAGAAAAAAAATATATTGCTGTAACTGTAATTGATTTTCTCTGATTTAAAGTCTATTTAAAACTACATGTACATCCAAGACTGCCCTCTGCACAGGGTGACACCATTGCTTTGTGATTTTTCTGCAGCGTGAAGTGTGTTGTTGCCCTGTTACAGGAAGTGCAAAAATAACATCTACTGTCAGGATGAACAAGTAATAAATGCATCATATATATTATTACTCATTTTGTGTTCCAGCGTTCCACTTAGAGAACATACAATATCCACCATAACGCTCTTTTAATGCTCAACTCTGCATCTCTTTCTACTATTCCTTTGCTTGCAAAGTGACCACTATAGGGGAAGGTAAGGGAATGAGTGCTTTTGTTTGTCTACTTTTTTCCTGAATTACTAGAAATATTTCAGGTATCTTGTGTTTCCTTCAATTATAGAGGAAGATATGAAGATAGATGAGAAGTTTGTTGAAGCTGGTAAGGACACAACTAAAGTAACCAATGTTCTGTATAAAATGTCCACTTGCTTTTACATGAGAGAGATGAGTGTGAGACTTTACCAAAAACTAGCAAACAACAAAAAAAAGAAAGTGTCCCCAAGCAAAATAAAATATGTAAAACAATGTCCCTGTACTGAGAGAACACAATGACTGTCCCTATAATGGAAACTTTGCAATAATAATACCGGTCATTTTGTCTGAAACTAAAATGAAGGGGCTACAAAAAAGTGCTTAAAGCCAGTAAAAGCAGCCTACAGGGGAGCCTAGCTACAGGGAAGATTCCTCCTCACTTCCTGTTAGGATAGGAGCTTGATGGGAAAACGCTCCAATGGGAATCGAGACAAAAAAACATTTTCAGTATAGTAAGGAAAAGTTAATTTTTTTGACATGCCTTCCTTCCTGTTCCAGTGATAACTGCTCCCCCTATTTCTTGTTCTGGTGTCACAGGACAGAAAGTGAGAAAAAATCTACCTAATAGATTGACAGATACAAATAAAAAGGTTGGCTGAAAAAAATGGATGGAGCTGCTCTTTAATGGGAATGTAAATTATACAACATTTATTTTTTAATAAAGTTAGAGTTACAATATAAAAATATTTAAAAAATTATATATATATATATATATATAATCTCTTTTATTCAGATAAATATTAAATGCTGAATATTAATTTTATGCTTTCTTTTGAGTTTGCCAGTCAGGTGGAGCTTTAGGCTCCTTTTTATGTTTTCAAGGCTCTCCCTTTGCTACTTTGATGTACAAAAAAATGCCAGTTATTTCTAGAACTCAGTAGCTCAAGCTGAAATTTATACTCGAACAAATAAAGGAGTCAGAGTTACTGATTTAATGTAATTTTTAAATGGAAAATTATGTAAGAAATATGTTATTGCAAATATTAAATTGATTTCTCCTTTCTATCTCTTCTTGGTTAAATCGTTGCATTTTTAATTTTTAATTTTGATTGTTAAAGCTTCAAGTGACAAATAAAACTGTAGTGCCTGGGAATATATTTACTGTCAGGAACGGTCAGCTTTAGATTACATAGTTGATCAAGCCTAAGGAATCAAACAATAAACAGATGGTGCTAGGCTATAAAAGGGAAATAGGCTAGGATTCTGGTTAGAATGCATTATGTTGATTTTGTTGTCTGTGATGATTTTACAAATCATTTATAACTAATAAAACACAAGCATATTATAACTTTAAGTTATGGTATGTTGTTATGTTATGTATTTATTCATTTATTTTGCATGCCGCTGAATCAAACACCAGATGAGGAAACATTTGAGTCAGGTAAATATATCTTACTGTACGTATTTAGGTTTTCTTCCATATTATGTTTTTATATTGACAACTTAACATTCAGTGCTACTTTTATGATTTGTTTTATAGACCATTCACATTAGTAAGATGAGATCATTCACAAGTAAAAATGGAAATCTAATCTATATATCGCAGTCACATAAAAACATACTGATAATGGAGCGGATTAGCTAAAGGATTGATTTTCACCCTAGACTCCGTTTACTTTACAATAACCGATTGGCTTCAGGGTAAAAGAAAGGATAGCCACATCATTAAATAAAGAAAAAAAAACACGATCCCCCCCTCCCCCCCCTAATATCAACATATGGAATCTTTAATGTTAAGAAAATTTAATTTTACTGCACAGCCTACCCCAGGTCCATGCAGTCTTCCTCTTCCAGGTGCTCACTTTTTTTTTTTATATACAGTGAGCCCAGGACTTATGTAAAAATCAGCAATTCAGAAGGTAAGGTTGCATGGACCATGGGCAGACCAGGCAGTGAAAAATGCTTTTAGAAACCTCAATTATATGATGCTCTATAATATTTATGATGCACATAGAGACTTTCACCTATCCAATAAAGAAAAAAAATGAACTAGGTTGGTATTGCTATTTGCTTTTGTTTCATGAATTTATGGTCATGTAATTATTACATGATGTAAAAATTAATGGGCTGTTTGCTACAGCTTGCATATACTTGACAGCTATGTTTCTCTAATCTAAGAGAGATTCTAGGGTGCTATGAAAATCTCATTATTCAGAGATTGCCATGGTCTGAATATTAATTATAGACACTAATCAATGGGTGACAAAGCTGATGACGTATGGCAGTGCAATTTGAAGTGATGAAAAAATATTGTCTGTTCTGCCTTGGACTCTCATTTATATTGCCTTTGCACAGTGAACCCAAAACTGCATTTAACTGGCACTTGATGGATTATTTCTTCCACTCACCCCAGTGTTGGGGCGCAATTCCTCCTACTGACATCAACAAAGGGCACCATTGCTCCCACAGAAACCATTGATGGGGTACTATTCCTCCCTCTGACATAAATGATGGGACACTATTCCTCCTACTGAAACCAACCATGAGACACTATGCCTCCCAATGACCCCAACAATAGGGCACTGTTCCTTCCATTGACACCAATAGTACAACATTTCTCCCACTAACACCAATGATGGGGCACTATTACTCTTAATGACACCAAAAATGAGACCACTATATTATCGATACCAACTATCAAGCACTGTTCCTTCCACTGATGCCAAAAATATGACATTATTCCTCTTCCCACTAAACACTGGTGCTAGGTAATTTTTTATTCCCAACTTTGGGACATTTTTTCTACTCCCATTGACCCCTGAACCTGGGGAACTGTTTATGTCCACTGATTCCAAGGCATTTCCTACTCCCCCTGGCCCCCACGTCTTATGGACCGCTAATTCACCCTTTATATAGAAAGTTTGGTGTCTCTTCCTTTGCATTATTTATCCCAAGCTCTAATGCCCTACTATACCTAGTCATATAACTAGATCTATGCTTAAACAGCTGCTGTGCAATAATTATCCGTAATTTAACAATTGTCCATTTGGTTGTTTATTTTGCCAGAGGAACTAAAAGGAGGTAAGAGGAATTGTATTCAGTATATAGTTTTAGTGAGATGTTAGAATGTGTTGATAGCCAATTGTTTTGAGGTTTACAATAATCTGAGTTTTTTTATTTGTTAAAATACTTTAAGATGAAGAGGTCAAAGGAAGATTCCCATGTATTTTCTGGTATTGGGCCAAACTGAGATAATGTAAAATGACTCCTAGAGTGATGGGGGAAGAGCTAGCCACAGAGCCAGTTGTCTTTTTTTAGTTTATTATAACTCTGTTTCACAAAAGCCATATAAAGACTTATTTGCAATGGGGATGGTAAATACTGTCTTCCCACACATCCCAGCAACCTAGAAGCAGCCAAACCTCCCACCAATTTTCAATATCCTACAAAAACCAGCAGCTGACACTGGAGATAGTGAATTAACCCTGGTACACTGGTATATACACCCATGCATATTACTAACAAACGTTTGCAAAAAAACAGGGATTTGTGGTGTGCATATATTGCAATAAATATTCTTTAATGGACATATAGGGGTTGATTTACTAACCTTATAAACACACCACGAACGTGTATACACCTCTGCAGTGTGTTCCCTCCCAGCATGATCTATGGGTGGAATCTAAACACCTTTGTAATGTGTACACACCCAGCAGGTGTGTTGTGCAAAGCCCTGAAGGAATTCCAAGGTGATGTTGGGTAAATTAGCTCTATGTTGTGTTGCTTGCGTTGATGAATGCAGGAATGTAAATGCATGAGCTAACCATTTTTGTCTAAACTGTGAAGCAGCATTATATATGCGTCATGTGCATGATTTTTCCATATATGGCATTAGTGGAAATATGCTTTTAGAGACTTTTTGGTTGATAAATACGTTTTGCTGTGTGAAAATCACACACACCTGGTGTGTGTGTGTTTAGGTTAGTAAATCACCCCCATAGTGTCAATATGGGCCTAAAAGACACAATTGGAAGTGAGCTAAAGACCAAGCACTATGCAATAGAACTGAAAAAATGTCTGTGATTCAGACCTGTAGCTTTCTAATCAACAGACAGCATATCAGACCTCTGCACAATGACCACTACTTCCATACAGAGAGCAAGTGTCTTTCTTTGCAGCATGCTGGCAGGGGACAAGCTTTTCTACTCAGGCCATGGTTGCTTTCTTAAGATGCCCATACACCTTACGATTATCGTATGCGATCGGTTTTTCGTACAATAATCGCAAAGTTGATGGGTAGTGTGCAACCGTGTATACTGTACAATCGTTCAACTTTCGACTACCCAGCATGTTAGAAAACCTGCGCGTCATCGTACGATGATCGTTCAGTGAGTGGTGTAATAGTTCGTCAAAAATCGAACTAAACGCCTTGCGCGTGCGCCAAACGAAAGATCAAATGGAAGTTGAATAACGGCTGCTGTCTCTACTCCGAGCATCCATACCTGTGTTCTTGTACTGTCATGGACCAGTCGGGCAGCCATTGCTGAGGCTACATGTCGCAGAGTACAGATGCAATAACCATGGTCACACATAATTCTACCACTCCACATGTTGGTCACACATGAGGCTTGTGAAAGTAACCCCAAATATTTCCACCGAAAAAACATCAACCCACCCTATGCGAAGCATGCAACATGTGATTAACATGGCCATTCTCCCTTCAGACCCAGTTGGATAAAACGTTAAGTGTCATGCATGCCCTACACATGTGTCTTCTGCTTGCTCCTTTGCATTGCACACCTGCGACATGTATCAGTCAAACCAAGCATTACCACAAAGAAACATCCCTCACAAACGCATCACTCAAGCAGGAGGACTATATATTCATAATGTGCTCATGCATGAAATGAGGACACTGACACAAGGCATGCAGGAATCTAATTTTTATATAAAACTTCTCAAATATAAATAGAAAACACAAAGAGGGGCGCCTTTCCTGGTGCAGATAGGTTTATTCCAGTAGACAGGATAAAAAGTAAACTGGCAGGTACTCACAAAAATAGAGTGATAACAAGCTGCAGGACAATTAAAAACTGGAGCAATGAAGGGATCCATGCAGTACGTCCTGTGTCTATACATGCAGTACGTCCTGTGTCTATGTATAGACACAGGACATACTGCACGGATCCCTGCAGCTTGTTATAACTCTATCCTTGTGAGTACCTGCCAGTTTACTTTTTAACCTGTCTATTGGAATAAACCTATCTGCACCAGGAAAGCCACCCCTCTTTGTGTTTTCTTTCAGATGTCCCAGTTTCCCTGACTGTATTGGGGCTGCGCCCTGCACATATGCCCAGCACTCCATCCTTGTCAGGGATGTGGATTGCCTCTGGCGCTTGTACATGCAACAATGGGGGTTAAACAGTGAAAGGCCAGTGCAAACGACAACTTGCCGAAATGGCAATAACCGGGAGTTGAAGGCTCCTAAAGCTTGTGGAGTTCGTCAAGCACATCATTAAGAGAACGCCACAACTCCACCATGTGCTCCGACAAATCCTCCAGCATGCCACAACATTGGCTGACAGCAGTGCACAGTCGTCCGACTGGAGCTCTTCCCTGGTCTGGTGACGCAACGTGAACTGTAATTGAAGGATCAAATACAACACACAATTACAACATGTTCCCAATGTCAGCTTCTATGTCATATGCAAGAAACAGTACATACCAGAAGGCGAATTGGAAGAAGGACCAGCCACCACCTCTCTCGCCACGCTCCCCTCTGATGCAACCTCCTGAATATGCACTATGATGCAATAAGCAGATGCCAAGGTTAACATGCAGATGAAGATCTGGTCATATGTGATGTCACAGTCAGGAAGGTGCACATACCAGAACCAGAGCTCACTGAAGGCGTACTCATCTGCTCACTCTCCACAAGGTCCACATTCACTGTAAGGGAATGAACAAATAGTTTCTTAACATGTGAAGGGCATGTGACATGCCATAATCTAGTCATACCACAGGACAACCTCCACCTCCTGGTCAGGCTCCTCCACATGCGGGCGCTCCATCATCACCTCTGTAGCTCCTGCTGTGTTCTGGATCCTACTCTCCAAACTCCTCTGTCCGTTCATATCTGCAACATTAAATAGGCATATGTGCCATCACCAAACGCACATGTACATATATGTGTGACATGTTTGCACACGATGCGTCTAATGACACATCGTGTTCTGGAGCTGTACATGGATAAACATTAAACATGGAGAATACAATACCCTTCCATATATATATAACTCAATCAGAGCTGTGCATGCTCTACTACTCCCCAATGACCAGGCCTGTAAGCCAACATGAAACGTGTCCAACCATATGTGTAGGTGCAATATTCTAAAAACCCCACACTTCTACGTATGATCCTGTGCATCCTGGCAAGCTGGCCAATCTCTCGCAGTTTGAGGTCGCACCACCTCTTTCTTAGCTTGTCCTTGGACCTCCTCACTTCAAGTTTGGCCTGCAAGGTCTCAATGAGCTGATCCAGGATCCTGTCCTTTCTTATGTTTCTTTGTGGGTATCTCTTCAGCTTGCAGTCGTAGTCCTGCTGCTCCATGATGGAGACCAGCTCCACCATTTCCTGTAAGGACATTGATGATGCCCTCTTTGTGGTCAACGCGTAACCGTGTGTACGATCGGGCCTTCGCTCATCCGACCTAGAGGGAACATCATTCCTTTTCGGACAAACGCTCTCTCGTTGGTTGGTATGTAGGGCTACCAAAGTGATCGTAGCCAATGCATGGCAGAAAGGGTATGCTTAGCAGACCATAGTTCAGATATTGTCTCATAGGCGTTTTGTCTTGCAACATGACGAGTTGTCCATATATAGCATATCTGGGGGACAGAGCAGGCCTAAACTCTGATGAACACTCTTCCCATTTACATTGGTCGCCATGTGTTCAGCATGCCTGTTTTCACCAGCAACGCATTTGAAGGTGGAGGATGTGGGCGACAAAGCTGCCTACTTGAGTGTGTCAGATATGGCCAACATTGTAATGAGCACCAGGTTCATTACACGAGCATAAGGACAAAGCTTGTTCGGGCCAAGTGTATGTGTTGTTTTTTGGATGTGGCTGGCACATGTGGGAGTCAGATACAGCACCATATCTATATTGTTTGCTCTAGCTAATATTTCATTGCACATTAGCAGATGTCCCAGGTGGGTATACAACATTGGAGTATACATAGTACTACAATGTCGAGGTATGGGATTTGTTTGGTGCATGGGCAGGTACCAAGGGCATGAAACCTATCAAGTTGAGGAAGTATGTAGAGGATTTGACACCTACTAATCAGTCTGTCTCTCAATTATACAGGCATTGTGACAGAGCGTTTCACTAATCCAGACTTCCTGAACCAATTCATTGATCTGTATCGCGAACTACCATGTCTGTGGAGAGTGCGGTGCAGGGATTACTGTAATCGCTCCAAGCGAATGGAGGCTTATAATAAACTAGCAGAATTATGTAAGACCATATCGCCAGGTGCAGACATAAATTATGTGAAACAGAAAATAGCAAACCTACGGACCGTCTATAGGAAAGAGCAGAAGAAAGTTAGCTCATCCCAGAAGTCCGGAGCCTCTGCTGATGATGTCTACCAGCCCAGGCTCCGGTATTATGAGTATCTGCGTTTCCTGGATGATGAGGAAGAACCACGGCCATCTGTCAACAGCCTGCAAACACCACCTACTCAGGCCCAGACTGCCTCGTCCGATACCGACGACCTTCCCACCGACATAGCTGAGAGCACGCAGGTAATTAATTATTTATTCACCATGTCAGCTCTGAAATAATAATGATTGTCTAACTCCCATATGTATGCAGAAGACACAGATTGGAATAGAAAAATCACAAGATTTATTGAACAAAAGTAATTATGCGGCACTCAAACTTTTTTGGAAGGACAGATTCAATGCATTAAATAAACACTTTATTTTGTAGAAGTATGTTCAACGGCACTGGAAATTACATTTGTCCCTGCCATTCCACAGCACCAGGGCCATTGAAATACTGCAAGTATTTGAGCCGGTTCTGCTGTGCAGCTGCAGTAGGCAATCGCGGATGCATGGGTCCCAAACCGTCAAGGCCATCCACATCATGCCTCCAATCCCCTGGGTGCATGACGCCACTCACAACATCCTCCTGGTCTAGGATTTGTCGGGGCCTGTAGGAGGTGCCCTGACGTCTCAGATAATTGTGGAGGGTACAACAGCAGTATACTAATATGTCAAATTTCTGGAGACACATGTTGATGGGAGTGAATGCGAAATCGGTTTGCCAATATCCCAAACACATTCTCCACCACTCTGCGTGCACGGGGTAAACGATAAATAAATATGCGCTGCTCCATGGAGAGACCACGCATTGGAAAGGGCTTGAGTAGGTGATCCCCAAGGGCAAAAGCTTCATCAGCAACAAACACAAAGTTCATGCCGTGTGTGGTTTCCTCATTGCTTGGTAGGTTCAGGGAACCATTCTGTAGACGCATGTTGAAATCATTCGGCTCCATGACACCTCCATCGGAGTGTCTTCCATTCATGCCAATGTCCACATACAAGAATTCATAAGTGGCGTTAACCACTGCAAGTAGTATAATGCTAAAGAAGCCTTTGTAATTGAAAAAAAAGGATCCAGAGTTTGCAGGTGGTATGATGCGGACGTCTATGACACCTCCACAGTTGGGGAAATTCCAGATGTCATTGAATTGCTTGGCAATCCGTTGCCATTCAGCTGCATCTGTGGGGAACTGAGAGTGACATGTAATTAGATATCTGACTTTTCAAACGACATACGTCGTGATGACACATTTCTTGTACTTTATCTGCACAGGACAGTGTCTGCATACAGGAAATGTTGGAAACTACACCGGGACCCTCTACTGCTCCAGTAGCTGCCAGGAAGCCACGCAAGAGGCCAGCTACCGACCGGACAATTGAGAACTTCCTCAACAAGGCATCAGCAGGCCTTGATACATTGCCGGATGAGAGTGCCCTGTTCTTCCAGGTTGCAGCACTGAAGATGCGCAGCATGGAGCACCACCAACGACAGTATGCACAGACAATGGTTCTCCAAATAATGCAAGACGGAGAAAATGGGCTGCTGGGTCCAAACTACCTCACTAGGGGGTCACAAAACAGTGCACGTGGGGACACACGGGTTGCAGTGCTGACGCATGATGTGGGAACCCAAACGCATGTACCACAGCAAAGATTTACACAACAGCAAATAGCACCAAAATACATGCCAAACTACTCCCACCAGCAACACCCACACAGGGAGCATCCAGAGACACACTATGTCATGGGCCATGGCCAAGTACAACAGCATACCATCAGCCAGATACAGGACCAAAGGTTTTGGAGTGCTGGGACATCTCAGGGGCAGGACAGACAGGGGTGGACCATGGAACATACCTACACAAGTCTTTAATGGCATAAGCTGTGGTTAACTGCATGGCTAATGTGTTACCATGTAAAAACAATTAAAGATGTGTGTTGTGAAACAGTGTCAAAGCATATTTTTTCGGAAAGTGCAATAATAACATTTACCTTGAGATACTCATCACGCAATACTTGGATGATTGCTGCACAGGTTTGGGGGATTATGCGCCCAAGTGCCTGTGCGGAGATTCCTGTGGAGAACTTCAGGTCCTCCAAGCTTCTACCAGTAGCGAGGAAACGTAGTGTGGCTATGAGCCGCCGGTCAGGGGGATCTGCCTTACTGTATCAACCTTCTTGATGTGAGGGGACACCTGAGCCAGGAGGTTGTTGTATGCTGCATCAGACATCCTGAGGTAATTCCTGAAGTCATCAAGGTTGTTCTTCCTCACTTCCTGCAGGAGTGCAATGTGAAATTAGGTGTCACGTTTCTTCAGCCAATTCTTGGTCCAGAGTCTTCTTCGCGATGGCATGCGTTGGCGGTGAGCATGAATGGCAGCAACACCGACCATGATAATAGTCCTGCTAGTCATATCTTCAGCCATCTCAAACAAGTGTGGGAAAGAATGTTCTGGGTTTGGGTCCTTTAAGGACATTGCACGATTGATGACGCTCACCGCTAGGGTTCAAACGATTGCTTCCGTCTTTCGATACAAATCATACAATTACGTTTGCGATTGTACGATATTCGGTCGTGAACGTGGTCTGTGCATGATGGGGTCGTCGGCCGATGATCACACGACGTTGCGATCGTCGCATGTTTCGCATCGTACGATAATCGTACGGTGTATGGGCACCTTTAGGAAAGTGAAGTGTAAGACTTTGCACATCTTTTGTTTTGATTCATCTGCATTATAGCTGATTTAAACTAAATTTAATTGGGCTTTAATGAGAAATGGAAGTCTGAAAGAAATGTCCACAAAAGGCAGTGGGGGGACTAGGACAAGTCACCAGTAGTGCCTGTGGTCTCTCTGCAGCAGATCTTTCCACCATGACTGACTTACCATGCCTTATTCTGTACTGTGCCTGTGTTAAGGAGGCCATTTTGGTAGAGGCAAGGTTTTACTTCCTCATGTCAGAGCCCCCAGCAAGGAAAACAGTGAACAACACATTAATGACATCTCCATATCTTCTGAGACAGTCTGATGCAGCAGTGGCGGAAATTAAAACTGCAGATATACTGTTCATGTATGAGGCTGTAGGCACACCTTGTGTATACCTTGAGGAAGCTGCTTAGGCACAATTAACATTTATAAGTGTCCCCTATAACATACTATATCGTCTCTCTTTTTGAGTTCAAGTCCACTTAAAATATAAGGAGTTTGTAAAAATGAGTCAATGTATTGGTTTGTAATTTAACGTATGGGCTTACTGTATGAAGCATATTACATTAACACCAATGCGTGATACTGTAATAACATCTTCCTAACTGTCTATTTATTACATGACTTTCCACATTAAGAAGAGGAAGACTTTGGCACTGATGGATCAGGATATGTCATTGGTATGTACTAGGCTTGTTATTACAGCAATGGAATTTGGATAAACTATTCATAGAAAAATAAGCAGTTTGAGAATACTATTTTAGAAAAAATAAACACAACATACACTCAGCTTCTGATCCTGGTATGTTATGTTAAGTGTCCAATCTCTAGCATTTTAAAGCTGAACTCCAGCCTTATGTTCAGTCTGGCAAATTGGTACAACATCATCTTCTGTGCTGAAATTGCTTACTCTGATTGCACTGAACACTGTGAGCTTCTTACAGTGTGCATTAGAATCTGCAGCAAGTCATATAGAGCTCCCCTAATTTCTTCACTGGTGGATGTCCAGCATCAGCTGGCCACCTTTAGCCTGACTGTCCCTGTCCCACCCCTTTCATTCATTTTACTTCAGTTATTTCACTCATGGAGGCTCAGCATCACATATGCACAATATCTAAAGTGGTCTGCATGCACATGAAGTCTGCCTAGGAAAGCCTACCCCAACACAATGTCATTCACCCATAAAGGTGTTTTGATGGTTGCATAACTTTCCCCAAGAGCCAGCTCATTGTTTGCATCAAGCCAGAGGACTCTTAAAAGTAGTACTGAGGCAGGCAAGCTATGTACAGCAATACAAAACACAAAAATTCCCCAGCCTCAACCTGCCAGCCAACCTGCAACCAAACAAATAGCCCTGTCAACAGTATGCGTTAAAATCAGAGGTTTAGTTGCACAAACTTTTGGCCAAAAATATGTAGAAGCCACACGGCCGCACCAAGGCACCTCTGCAAAGTGTGGTCCTAACTCTATGTATCCGAGTCTCCAAGTGTGAGCATATTAATGAAGTTGATAAATTACATGCAGGTGTACCTGGAGGTAGCCAACTCCTCCTAATAAGGTGCAGGGATCGGACAGGGGAGGGGGGGAATCCCTGCACGGAGCCAGCTCTCTGCAGGGATAGATCAATAAGTGAGCAAGCGACAGTATGTGTTCGCTCACTTCCCGATCTACTGAGCCGACCTGTGACAATTTAATTGTTATGCTGTAACTATTTAACTATTGCTTTTCTAGTGTATTAATATTATTTGGCCACTTTGGAGTGGATTGTTCTATCACTGGCCATATATCTTCACAGCTGGTTTTCGGAAAAGTATGCGGCTCTGCCGTAGAAAGTCCCACACCACTCATCTGTCCTGTTACTCCCGCTGCCCCAACAGCTGTTACCACACTGTGGCTGCACCATATGAGGAAGTCGTAAGATATCAGAGGAGGCCTTGTGATCACCACAGGCTCATCGTGCTTCTAGGTAAGTTCAGATTTTCTTTCAATACAAGCATATTACTGCCGTATTTTATTTCCCTGTGTCATTCCTCCCTATATAAAACTATATGAAAGAGAGAAGAGCAGTATTTAAAGGGTAACTAAACCCAATAACCAGAAAAAAAGCTTGTTTTTGCGTTCAGTGCAGCTTAGTAGGTATTGTCTGTAGTTGCTGAAAATGTTCTTAACCTGGAAAAAGAGAATGAATGCAGCCTACAAATGGACTTGTAAGGCAATATATACTGAGTGGCCAGATTATTATGACCACCTGACGTTTGAAGGCAAATTAGCTATAATTTGGCACTGAAGTTTCTAGAGGGCCAGACCATTATAAATAGGGAAGGAGGTTGTTTACGACGACAGTAGAAGTGATTTCAACGTGATTTCAACGCGATTTAACAACCTTTGAACGTGGGATGATTGTTGGCGCTCTGAGCCATGGAGGGAGTATCAGCAAAATAGCAGAATTCGTCAAATGTTCAAGAGCAGCTGTTGTTAAAATGTTTAAAGACTGGACTGTCAGCCGCAAATCTGGGTCTGAACGTGCGAATTGTGGCCGTCAGCGACTAGTCAATGTTAGGGCAGAACGGAGAGTGGCAAGACTGGTACAAGACAACAGAACGGCAACAGTGCAGTGTCAGATTCCTCGCATTATCTCGTGGCCCAACGAAGTACTGATGGGCTGGTCATAATAATCTGGCCACTCGGTGTACACTACCTGGCCAAAAAAGTCACATAGTGTAATATGTTGCTGGACCGCCTTTAGCTTTGGTAAACTGCACGCATTTGCCGTGGCATCGTTTTCAATAAGCTTATGCAATGTCACAGCATTTATTTCCATCCAGAGTTGCATTCGTTTTTCACCAAGATCCTGTAGTGTTGATGGGAGAGTCGGACCACTGTGTAAAGTCTTCTCCAGCACATCCCAAAGATTCTCAATGGGGCCATTCCATGTGTGAAAATTTTGCTTCATACTCCCTGAGCCACTCTTTCCCAATTTGAGCCCGATGAATCCTGCCATTGTCAATACGCCCATACCATCAGGGGAGAAAAAAATCCATTGATGGAAAAACCAGGTCATTCACTATATCCAGGAAGGCAGCTGGCCTCATTTTTTGGGCACCTAACGTTGCTGAACCTAGACCTGACCAACTGAAGCAACCCCAGATCATAACACTGCCTGAAATCCAGGTGGGGACTTTTATTTGGCCAGGCAGTGTATTACAACCTTTCTTGTGTAAACGACTTATCTCTCCATTACCCATGTAATAGAGATAAACAAAGGCAGACATTTTCTTTTAATCCTGCCTAGGTGGCTACCATGGCCCCTTCCATAGATATACTGAAGAATTGAATGTAGCCAAACGGAGACAGGAACTCTGTTATTACTGGGGAAACCGGGAGCAAATTAGGGAAAAAACCTGAAAGAAAGAAAACTCCTGCTGCCATCTCATGTAAGGATTGGTCAAATATATGACATTTTTATTTTTGGGTTTAGATGCACTTAAATTATCCTGGCTTCCAGGTGTACAAAATCACAGCTGACATGTAAGCGTCCATATCTTTTTTTTCTCATTGCCACTCTTCTGCTCTTTTCTCTCTGTGCACTTGTGTGAGTGAAATGCTGATTCAAGGCTAACCAGTGGCGTAACAATAGCCATAGCGACCCAGGCGGCCGATATGGGGCCCGGGCACAGGGGGGCCCAGCCAGGACACCCCCCTGATGCCGTGGGGGCCACCATGGGTTTGAACGCGCCACTGTTCAGATCACTGTGATCTGTGCAGCCCTGCGTTCTTCTCCATAGCCGCTGCTGAGTCAATGAGAGTCAGCAGCGGCGGTGGAGGAGGCTGGACGTGGCGGGGAGGCGGGGCCCGGGGGTCAGCATCAGAGAAGGGGCCGGTGACGGAGGAGGGGGCGGGCCCGGCGACGTAGGACGGAGTGTGCCCGGCGACGGAGGAGGGAAGACGGAGGAAGAAGAGGCGGACAGGTAAGAAGTGTGACCAGCCCACCTGAGGGTGACTGTGCAGAGCGCACCATAGAGAGTCTATGGTGGGCTCTGCACGGTCACCCTCAGGTGAGCTATGTGGGCTCTTCAAGGGGTGTAACTAGAAATCACAGGGCCCCATACAAAATTTTGCATGGGGCCCTGTGATTTCTAGTTATGCCGCTGAGGCTAACCCTATCTTTTAAGCTGAACACTGGGACAAAAAACTCCATATATACTCTTATATAGCCACAGAGGAAATACATCTACTTTGTACACACCAAACGCCTTTACACACTCAGATGTTACCATATAAAAGTAGCAGTGACATCATCACTGTGCTGCACATAGCTTATGCAGAGAGCAGAGTTGTGGGAGGGACCCACCTACTACAGGCTGCCTGCAGAAAACTATAGCAGGGCGGATACAAGACCAGCCACCCTGCACAAGGAGAGAGAGCAACAGTGACTAGTCTTTATTACAGGAATCTCTTGGACAGAGGCAAGCTTTAACGCTGGATTACTACACAGATCTGCAGATTGTCTTTCCTCCTCCTTTAATACCTCTATTACTCTTTGAAGCAGGAAGAAGATAAAGAGATACAGCATGGCTCACAAAGGAAGCAGCATGGGGGGAGGTATTGGTGAGCAGATGGGAATGAGGCTGTCAGTATTTTGTGATTGGCTGTTTTTACTCAGGTGCTAGTTCCAAGCTATCATGATTGGTCTCTCTTGTTTCTCAGTGTCTCCATTCTCTGTGAAACAGGGAGGAGAAAAAAACTTTAGTATGAAGCAAAGAGGCGGCAACAAGGACGGAGGTACTGGCAAAGAGATGGGAAGAAGTATTTTGTGCATGGCAGTATTGACTGCTTTGTACTGGCTTCGGCATTTTGTATTTGCAGTACAGTTTTTAATATGGGTTGGTACATGGATGTGTGTACAAGGCTGCATGTTACCCTTATTTTTGCCGATGTGCAAGTACATTTGTGCTGTAATATGCTCAAATATGCTCTTCATCGGACATGGAGTACTGTCCTGTCATAAAACAGAATTTAAATATTTAACTGTTTCCCCTGTAGGACCTTCAGGAGTTGGAGTTAATGAACTAAGAAAACAGCTTATATTTTCAAATCCCAGTTTATATAAAAGTCCAGTGCCACGTAAGTGATGTTATTATTCTAAATCTAAAACCATTGACTCATTTAAAAATAGATACAAGCATGTATAATCAGGCTGTGGTAGACCAGATACACATGAACATTATCATAGGTCAGATGTTCTAATCTTCTAAGCCCTTGGTTCTCAATTGGTGGGTCGTGACCCAAAAGTGGGTTGCTGGATGCCTTCCACTTTTCTAGGTGAGAGGCTTCTCAGGCTCTTCCTAGCGCAAGATAGTCAGTTCTCGTACCAAGCAGAATTTAAAATATGCTGCCCGGCGCCGAGTGTCAGCTTGAGGTGGGGTTGGGTGGGCTGGATTTATGGCTGTGATGGAGTTCCATCCATATGTGCATTGCTTACTGCTCCCTCGCATGTCCTGTAGAGGAGCCTGGACCAAAGTAACATAACATTTTGGCTCCCAGCACCTCTTCAGGGCGTGCAATGGAGCTGTACAAGCAATGCACATATGTATAGAGCTGCGTCACAGCACAGCAGCCCACACTGGGCCCCAGGCTGATGATCCACTCCAGTTCTTGTAAATTAGGGAGACTGGGTGGATCTAAAAAAAAAAGAAAAAATACATAATTCTTTTTTTTTTGAGTGTGTGTGTATGAGATTGTGTCTGTGGCTGTGTGTGTCTATCAGTGTTTTTGAAGGCCCATTCACACTAGTACAGTGCATTAATCGGACAGTCAAATGCGATTGATGCATTACATCACACAATCACACCTACTGTGCGTTCTGGTACCCACCCACAGTTCGACCGCCCGCAGCAGAACACGGTACCGCAATGCCATGCGTTCCATTGCAGCGCGACTTGGGTCGCGACCTAATGACCAAGGACAATTGTGGGTCCTGAGGTTACACAGGTTGAGAACCACTGTTCTAAGCCATCAGTTCACTACAAAGACCCGAGCCATTATGAAAGTTTTTATGACTCCAGCATACTGATTCCCAAACATAGCCTCCATTATGCAGAAAATATTCAATACATGACTAAAGGTAAGCAATTGTTGTATATTAACCCCTTCGTGACGGGAGACGTACACTGTACGTCCAGCCACAAAGGGACCAAATGACTTGTCACGTACACTGTACGTGACGAGTTATTTGCTGCTTTAGAGGGCTGTTAACCGCTGAGAATCAGCTTTTAACATTCATTAATGGATGCCCTTACTACAGAGGCATTCATTAATGAAAGGGTTAACCTTTTTCAGACACCCGATACCTTAATATCGGGTGTCTGAGAGTCAAAGCAGAGCAGCGGGCAAAAGCTTTTGCCGGCATTCTAACAGCTCGTATAGATCGAGAGATATCTCTCTCAAGCTATACTGGCTTTTTTTTTCTTTCACCAATAGATACATAATGTGTCTATTCCTACAATGTATCTATTGGTGAAAGAAGAATGTTTCAGTTTGCTGATCGTTGTTGCAACAATCAGAAAACCTTTAGTGACAGCTGAATCCTGAACTGCTGCAGGATCAGTGTCACTAACTTATTATCGGCTGTTCTGAAGTTTGAAGCAGCCTGATAATAACCAAAAATGTATTAATTTATCAAGCAGTAACAGTGAGATTAATTCACAATGACTGCTTGATATAATTAAATAAATAAAATAACATTTTTAAGTTTAAAAAAAAAGTGAAAAGTGTAAAAAAAATAAATAAATGTGAAAAGTGTAAAAAAAATAAATGTGTAAAAAAAATAAAATAAATAAGGGACAAATAAATGAATGTATTTATTGCATTTTTTAGCTGTGCTGGTTTTGTAAAAAAAAAATACTACCAATCAAAACTGGGAAAAAAGTGTTTTTTTTAAATGTTTTTTTCCTCTTTTTTATATTTTATTTGTCCTAAGTGAGGCGTTAGACACACATATGTGATATAAACATACAGCCCTATCTGTCCTCTAAAAAACAATATATAATATGTGTGGGTGCACTTTGTAAGAAAGTATATCACTGACGTGGAAGAATCACACAGCAAAAATGTCAAAAGTGTGTCAGTCATTTACGAACAGAAACTAAAAACAAGCTCAGTCATGAAGGGGTTAAAGAGTTGTTCCTGTAGTCATTAAATGCATCCAAATGCATACGTTGCTCCTGGACCGCTGTTCCTGGGGACTTCTGCTAAACATAATAGTACCATAAGAAGGCTTCAAGTCTGGTTAAGAAAACTTTCATTTTACACAAACAGTGCCCTGCTAGTTTTGTGCAGCTCTGCACTTTTTAGAGACTAGAAGTCCAGCATACCAACTGCCTTCATATTAATCTCAGCTAATAAACATGAATTCCAGATACATAGCACATCCTGTCATATTTGGTTACACTGGTATTTAAACTGACTTTTGAAGCTCAACCCCTGGGCACAATAAGCTTACTGGAGTTAAACTAGTTGAACACTCTATTTCCTCTTGAATGGTATCTGCCATTATGTACACTTCTTCACCTCGTAAATGTTCTTGTTTACATGCAGGTGGAAGTACAGCTCCCACTGCACTCTATTGTTCCTCCAGCTCTAAGCTCTAGACCCCCCCAGTGCTACGGTCGTATCTCTTCTCCTTACCATTCACAAAACACATACACCTTGGCTTTGTTTTATGACTGGAAAAGGGGAGAATAAAGTGGAGATGCGACCGTAGAGCTAGAGAATATAAGACCTGCAAGGCTTATAGACGAGCGGACACCAAAATACAGATAGAGCTGGACTTTCAGGCCACAACGGAGTCCAGAACCAGGCCCAGGTACTCGTCATGGGGGAAGGCACCAGACAAGACTGCGGGAAGTTCAGGATCCATCCGTACTCCCCCAAGGACCGCACAGTGACCCCCAGAGAAGAGTGCGACACTGCCCGCAGAAGATCGTCCAGATACCCCACGATCGAGATGCACCGGTAACGCAACAGCGCCAGAACCATGGGCTAACGCCTTGTAGAACACACGCGGGGCCGACGCCAGGCCGAAAAGGTACTGGAGACTCCAAGGATCTACATTCATCCAGCATGTCGCCCTGGCGACACTTGCTTGAAGAAAACAGCAAACAAAAGGAGGAAAATGAAAAAAAAATTCCAGAGAAATTTTTTTTCGCTCCTTACTCCTGACGCTAGGCAAAAAACTGGAGACTTGTCAGCAAGTGGGGGGTTTGGCCACCAGCAGGGGCCGCCCCTAGGCTGTCTTTGTCTCTTGTTATGTGCCTAGCGTCCTTCTCCTGCAGGTGGCGATATACCCTACCATTCAGGATCTACGATCTGTTGCCCTGTGTCCTTCAATGAACGGGAGAGAAATGGTTGGGGTGAAGAAGGGGGTGTACATCACACCTAGTGGCTCTAGTCTAGAGGAACCAGAATATTCAACTAATTTAAAGCCAGTAAGCCCAGAGTTGGGCTGTAATCACTAGGCACCTTTGGAAGCATTCTCTCTAATTCTGTAGATGCCAGTTTTGGCTGAAAGGTTCTTCATGTGGCCCTGAAATCCTTGGCCCCTGTTCTAGTTCCCTTTTGCAGTTGTTTCCTTGGGCCTGTTAGCTGTTGTCTTTTTTGTGTTGCCCGCTCCACATCACAATGGTCTAAGAATTAACTCCTTGTATCCAGTGATGTACGATCCAGAAAATGGGATTTTCGTCTTACCTATAAAATCTTCTTTCTTGTAACAGAAAGTTCCTGAACAAGGACCTCTATGGCAGGATAACCATGTCTTTTTTTTTTTTTTAATGAAAGCTGCAGATTAAAAAATAGCAAATATTACTTTCAAAAAAACATTCACCTGTTAAAACATATATGTAATTTGAGTGATTGGGTTAAAAAATAATTTGCAGCAGTTTAATAAATGTCTATGTTCCAACAGACACCACACGCCCTAAGAAGAGTTATGAAGAGGATGGGCGTGAATATTTTTTTGTATCTAAAGAGATATTTGAAAGTATGGTATATAGTCACAGGTATAGTATTTGTTTGTGATACTTGAATATAAAATAAACCAAAAACTGCAGCACAGGCTTTTTTTTGTTATCCTGTATTTTGATGAGCTATTCATTTTCTATTTTGTTATTTTTTGGCTTCAGTTCTGCTTTAACATGAAATAGAAAGAATGATTGGATATGTAGCCAAAAGGTAATATACCAATAGCAATACATTAACCAAAACGTCTATTTGGGGGAACGTGAACATCAACAATACTGCAATTAATTACTATTCAATTTGCTATTATTATTTGATATTCTATATTAATCAAATCACTCATACTGAATTATATACTTGGAGTGCAATTTCAGCAATGCACAATATACAGAAAGCTTTGTTAGGTGGCATACCAGATAAGAACAGGAAAATTTCTTTTTTGTCATGAAACTCTAGCTAAACAATTAAATACATTTAAAATACATATATTTGTTTTTCATGTCAAACAATTTGTGAATCTGTTGAGCCACTCTTGAGATTCACATATTTTCACTGTATGGGTAATATGGTGATACTAATATTTACAATTTCATCTGTCTGTGTCACCTACCTGATCATTAGACTATGAAATACATACACTGATGAGGTCCTCCTTGTGCTCTTCTTCTTCTCCTGTAAACTGAATAGTCACCATCCCTTCTAGGCCCTTGTGTCTGAAATCAGGTAAGATTGGAAGCATTGTGCCTTGCCTGATTGACTCACATTGCATAGCCTTCCATCCCCTGTCTAACCTCAGCTGATTGATCTGTTTGTGAGTCAGTTGGCCAAGTTCACACTTGGGCGATCCATGACCGCGTGACAATAGTACACGAAACTGTGTGCATCGCTGTGCAGTCGCAAAATCGCCCACCACTGCTAATTGCGCTGGCGGTGCTATTATTTTTTAATGGCACTCCAGTCGCGCCAGGCAGATCCGTCCTGTTCAATCGCGCACGATGGCAGTTGAAAAAACTGCATGGTGTGCAAAAAAGGTACATGTATCTTTTTTCAGCAATTGCCGTGCAAATGTAACCCTATTGAAATCATCCGCTGTGTGCAACAGCAAACGATCGCGCGGTCCCGCCGAAAACCGGACACCAGTCGTAAGACTCTACTGCATTGAACAGTACATACTAAACACTTGCAGACAAGATAGAAGGAAGAGCAGACTGATGGTCTCATTGGTGTTCTGATACTCCTTTGTTGTCCAGTTAGCAGGATGGAGATATGTTGGTGACCAACTTCTGCTGGTTCACTGCGGTGGAGAGTCACCATGTAATTAAAATGACAAATCCTAAGTGTGTTTAGCAGTTTGATTGGAGTTGAGCTTTTAAATCTTTGACAGTCTTTCACAGAATTAGAACTTTCAGCATTGTTGAAGTTTCAATTATCACGTCAAGACCCAGAGCAAAATATGTATTTAATTTCTGCACAAATCCTGATGCTGAATATTTTATCTAACTATAGGACCAGTATAGTTCTTTGTAGCACATTCCCCTTATTTTTACAAACTAGTTTCTCACTCTATACTATATTTATTTTTCCCCTTTTAGTTTTCTGGAGTATGGCGACTACAAAGGACATATGTATGGTACAAGTATAGACACAGTGAAAGAAGTTCTTGCTGCAGGAAAAATATGCATCATTGATTTGGAGCCACTGGTAAGATTAACACTCTTCCATATGTACTATGACACACAATACTATGCACTAAACTAAAAGTTGCAATGAGTCAGGAATGATGCATCCATTTCTAAGAAAAATGTAAAATGTTACACTTTGCTTTAAATTTATGATAAGCACAAATCCAAACTTGCACAAACTATAACTCATGTATTTGATCTCTTTCTGTTTTGTCACAGGGTATCACTGGAGCTAGAACACATGAGCTGAAACCATATGTCATATTTATTAAACCACCGAGCAGAAACTGCATGAGGCATACTCGAAGAAATGCCAGCATGATCACAGACTATTTTGTCAATATGAAATTTAAGGTAACCTGGCGTCTGCCATGTTTGACACAATTTAATAGGTTAGCTTAGCTCCCTAATGTCCAATCAATTATTGATTCATTTCGTAATCATTTGACAATTTTTTTAATATCTTGCCAAACTTCTAGTATCAACTTTCTTTCTAAGGGCCTTAGAAAGCACCATTAATCTTGGCATGATGACACCACACGTCAATAGAAAGGAGAACCACACAGAGGTGCCCCCAGGCCGGGCGTAACCCGGTGAGGCAGCTGAGTGTCACCCACGGGGACATCATCATGCACGCAAGAACACGATATCATCATGCATGTGCTTAATTATGTCCCATGCACTTAACTCTAAAGAGAGGAGGCGATGTTCATCCGGTGGGTTAAGGTATGCCGCCATGTCTCCTCCTCTCTGGTGCAGCTTTCGGGCTCTCGGTCCATGACTTTTCAGAGGGGGCGACACCAAAATGATGCCCTCTGATGGTGTCACCCACACCCCTCTTGTGGCACCACTGGAACCAGACCCTGTATATCTGAGGTTTTAATAAGACAAGTTCCACCTGCATTCTGTCTAAGGAGGTTCTAACAACTGGAACCTAATGTGGAACACCAGATTCTAATTTTAAATAATTGAAGTGGTGGTAAAAATAGGGGTTTACTTACTTTTTCATATGCTAAATCTGCATTTTTGTTAAGTTAGATCATTAAAATTAATATACTGTTTTTTCAGGAAGAGGATTTCCAGGATATTGAAGAGTCAGCAAAGAAAATGGAGGCACAGCTCGGACAGTATTTTGACCAAGTGTTGGTTAATGATGACCTGCAGTCTGCCTGTGTTCAACTCGTGTCCATAGTCCGTCGTGCTCAAGATGAGCCACAGTGGATTCCAGCATCTTGGATCTGTTCTGATTCTTGAAAAAAAAACAACATGTTTAATACAGTTATTAATAGCAATTGTATGCTTTGTATTTATTTAAATGATTAGGTAGAACCGGAAAAACAATAAATCAGTTTACATAGATATCTTTTCTTTCACAAAAATATTAGCATTTTTATTTGCAGTAGAGACCACTCTAAATACTATATTGTATTATGCTGAATAAAGTTGGTCTGAGAATTTCATTAAGTGAATTATACAAATTGGGTGCTATTAAACTAGTAACAGCTCCATAGCAACAGTGAGCCTGATCTACAGATCAAACAATGAATTAATGAGAAGAAAAATCTAATTCATGGAATGGACAATAGGGTGCTTCTGAACAACTTTTTTTTTTCTTCTATTAGACTGTTACATGTATGTTTGCAGCTATCTTTATATTAATACAGCAGGGAGGGGGGGCAGTGGTGTGCCTAGCCTGTGTATGTGATACCCGGGGCAAATTGTTTGAACACCCAGAAAGCACAAAAACAACTTAAAAAAGCACAAGCGCTTTGTAAATTATAGGGTATTTGTATGATTGGAAGTATGTCTGCAAGATGTATTTGGGCTGCATGTGGATATATACTGTACATACCGTGTTTCCCCGAAAATAAGACAGTGTCTTATTTTTTTTTTTGCACGAAATAAGACACTAGGTCTTATTTTCGGGGGATGTCTTACCTGGCTGGGGGAGGACCGGACGTGCTGTTGCTGGTCCCGGTGGATGATACTCCGCTTCCATCGTGCGTGCGGGCGGGAGCTGCGGCCGTCGGGCGTGTGGGCGGGGC